CAGATGGTTTGGACTTCGTTTTGAAAATCTCATCAGCTTTGGAATGCCCTAAGACGGACTAATCCTTCACCAATGGTTTTTGAAAAGGTTCGAAGGAGTCGCCATCAATATTTTGTTCAAAACATCAGGAAACAAAAAAGAAAAAAAGAAAAGGTTTTCAAAAATAGATTATGGCCTTCATAGCCAGAATCGGGTTCGGGATCAGTTACGTGTGGGAAAGGTATTAGGCACTCCACAATTCCCTAACTTGGTACCCTATGATAAATTTAGCATAATAACAATATAATTAAATCTTTACCCCCTTTTATTATATTAAGCATACAATAATTTACATTTTATTAATCTACAAAACATACATTAGTTTATTATCTACATGACGAATCATTCACTATATGTGAATAGGGTTATAAATAAAGCAAATAAAGAGAAGAGAGAAAAAGAGAAAAAATTAGAACATTCGAAGAAAGCTTTTATAAAAGAAACTTCACAAATGTGTACAAGGGTGTGTTTTGGTAGCCTTTCGCTCTACAAAAGTCTCACAGTCACTTAGAAATTTACAGAGAGAAAGGGCAGTCAAATATGATACGTGTGTGTGCCAGGAAAGAGGTGTGTAGAAGAGTGAGCCTTGGGCACACTTATATAGTCACCCATGGAAAGGGAACGACCATTCCCAGCACCGGAACGACCATTCTACACCTTAAAAAAGCACTAGGTTACCTAATTGGGAATGAATGTTCCCAACTAGGGTTTATGTGCAAATTTCAAGTTAGGAATGACTGTTCTAAGGTTAGGAACGGTCGTTCTGGGCTGAAATTAGGGTTTTTTGTGTTGTAGTGTTTTTTTGGGCTTTCTAGGTTCTGTCTCAATCCATTTTAGTGCCTTACTAGGCCCTCAAGGGCTGCTCTTCTAGTTCTAGAGGCCCCTCGACCTTAGTAAGGGTAACCTGGATGAAATCTGGTGTGTTTACAATCATATGCATATGATTGAAGAATTGTGAATGAAATATGTAATTGTGTGCGTTTAATTCGCTACTTTTACTCTACTTTGAGTAAGATGTGAGATATGTATCTCAGTCCCCATGTTTGTTTGTATTTGGGTTGATCATCATTTGCATGAGAGAGCTCAATTAGATGTTGATGATGATGTTATAAGGTGGTTTCTTCCTCTCAACTGTTGTTTTATTTTGGATTGATTATGCTCTAATATGTTGTAACATCAAAATAGGACATGCAAATTTTCCTTTATGAATTCTACTATTATGTTTACTTTGAGTTTGATTCATTGTTAATGGTCTTTGGAGTGCTAAAATTGTGATAGTCTGTATTTGCAAAAAAAAATAAACACATTATTTTATATAATAATTTTACAATGCTTTAATAATAAATTATTTCATAATAGAAGGTGTCACAAATATGCAGGTGACATGGAAGGGAAAAAAACATAAGAAAAACAATAAAAGGTGAGAGCAAAAGCATAATCATGGAGGACATCTACAAAGAGGTGGAAGAGGGTGAGAAAGAGGAAGAGTGTCTCAATGGATTGAAAGAAAATGAAGCAGTGAATAAGAAAATTGCCTTTTACTAAGGTCGGAGGAGATGGAAGGGTGGGTGCCTAAGTGATATGACAGGAAAAAAGTATCATAAGCAAATCATGAAAGAAATAAAGAAAAAATAATAATAAATTCATACACTGATTTTAAAACTTATTCATGAGACATTTGAAAAAAAAATTGCATGCGTCTCCCACCCTAATTTTCGCCTATAAACTTTTGATCTTCAAAGGATTTGATTTTTGGTCTTGTATTTAAATAGAATCAAAGTTTTTTATTTTTCTTTTAGCAACATAATTAGTATTTATTTATTAAAAAAACTATGTAACAAAGTCAAATAAAAAATGTAGACTGTTAAAAAGTTACAGCTTTTATAAGACAAAAATATATTAATAGCATGATTGTATTATCATGTTTATTTATTGTATAGAAAAGTTATATGAGATAGATTTTTCATTCAATAGCTTTAGAATTTGAGATGAGCCTTAAACAAACATTTATGGATGTGTTTGATTGTGAGGAGAAAAATAGATTAAAAAAAAAAGGATGAAGAGAAATAAATGAGTAAAAATAAGTAAGAAATAGGATGAAAATAAATTTGTTTGGTTTGAGAAAAATAGATTAATTAAAAATATATATATAAGAAAAATAATATTATAAAATCATTTGATTTAAATAAATAAAGAGAAAATAAATTATAATTAATAAAAAATATATCATTTAAACCTTTTATTACATATCAAAATACAATTAAATGAAATTGTTTATTTGAATAAAACAATTTCTTGGAAGTTATTTTATTCGAATAAACAACTTTCTAAAAGAAGTTTTATTCAAATAAACAACATATTTATTATAATAAAACAATGTCTAAAATTGTTTTATTTGAATAAAAGAATAATCATGTTCGAATAAAATGAATATATATAAAAATAAAAAAAACAAATTATTGTTGTTAACAACTGTATATGAATATAAAACAATTTTACTCTCATCTTTATTTGAATACAAAACAACTCTTATTCAAACAACAACTCCTATTCAACAAATTTTGGTTAAACTTTCAATCAAGGATAAAAATGTAAAAAAAATAAAATAATAATAATAATAATAATTCTACTCTTTCTTCTTTACTTTTCCTCATATTTATGAAGAAATTTTAGGACATAGATTCCACATATATAAAATTATTTTCTAAATTCTAACCAATCTCTTCTTAAACAAACATTCAAGCATATTTTTGGTCAAATATTTGTTCTCTCTCCACACTATTTCTTGAGTGGATGTATCATGTAAGTTGTAACCATGACGCCCGTAATTAAGTCACAAGTCATTTGAAATTTGAAAGAGGGAAATGAGGAGCAATTGTAGGTATTGGCGTGTTGTGGTAAAGTACTGAAAAAAGAATTAAAATCACTTTTTGACATTTGATGCTTTGATAGGGAACAGTGTGAGAGCTTTATGCACTTTACAACGAAGGAGGATCATTTTTCCACGCTCGGTTCTCCAAATGGCCCCAAAATTTCTTCTTCTGTCGCCCTTTTGAATTTCGATTCACTTCACACTCCTTTTCTCTTGCTTCCTAACAACTTGACACAACCACAATTTTCACTACTATTTTTTTAAGTTTTTTTTTTTTTTTTTAGAATTTTGGAGAAAAAAATACTGCTTTCATTCTCATATATAACACTCAATTATTTGATTTATCAAAATTAAGAAGAAAAAAAAGTTATTTTAGTTAATAATAATAATAATAATAAATTTATCTTATTTATGTATACATATTTTTTAAAATTACTCTTATACTACTTTTCTTTCATTATTAGTACTTATATATTTTTTAACCAATTATAATACATGTATTATATTATTTCTCTCTTAATTAATATTCTTTTTTTTTCTAACAAATTAGAGTGTATGTTTTTTTAAAAAGTTTATAATTAATTCATTTAACCAAATTAACATAACTGACTTTAATTAGGAATGTTTTAGTATAAACATAATTAATAGATCAGGTAATATGAATTTAGATTTTATAAATAATTTTTTCAATTGAATTTTATAAATAGGAACAGATGTAATATATAATGGATAAGTAACATGATTAAAAAAAAAGACAAAATAATACTAAAGTAAAATTTACTATTATATAAAAATTTGTAAGAATAATATAACTCATTTTTAAGAGGTAAGGATATATATACAAATGTATATGTGTGTGTACACTTGGGAGAATATAGTTTAATGGTGATAATGTAAAATAGTTTTATATTATCAATTAATCAAATATTATTTTTTTATGACATTTTACTTATAATAAAAGTCAATTTACTAAAAATAGTGGTTTATGATTAGATTTCAGTGTAAAACTACTTTATACTAATGTACATCACTCATTTTCTCTTGAGGATATCATTTTTTTTATGAAAATTAAAATACTCAATCATAACTCTTAAATTAAAATAAATATATAGATTAAAATAGTACAAATAAAATTATCGTGTACCACCATCATTTTAATATATATATATA